CAATATTATATAAATTGTTTAAAGAAATCAGAAAGTATCCTATCAAATTCCTTCTATGAAACATATATGGTCTTTATAATTGAACCAGAGAGAGACAAAGCAAAGAAAGGAAACTATAAACCAATATCCCTAATCAATGCTAACAAATATATTGAATAAAATATTAGCAAAGAAGCCATAACAACATATTAAAAACTATAACCAGATTAGATTTATAACAACAATGTAGTCTTTCAGCATTAAGAAAACTATAAATTTAATACACAAATACTCATAGAAAAACAATAAAAAGTATATGATTACATCAACAGATACAAAAAGTTTTTTAATATAAAATACAATAATTCTGCATACTAAAAATATTTAAAAGCACAGGAATTAATGCATCATTTCTTAATATGATAAACAGTTCCTATCTAAAACCAAGCTCAAGTATTATCTGCAATGGAAAACTACTAGAGGGCTTTCCAATAAGATCAGGAGTAAGTCAAAGATGTCCATTGTGCTCATTATTATTTAATGTAGCTCTTCATGAAAATGTTTTAAATAGCTGTAGACATAGTTCCTGTAGCAATAAGACATCAAAATGAAATTGAAGGAAGAAGCATGGGCAAAAAGGAAACAAATTCATTGCTTTTTATAGATGATAAGATGGTTTGCTTACAGAATCCTAAAGATTCAAATAAAAAATAATTGAAAAAAGTAATCCAGCAAAATAATAGAACATAAAATAAGCCCCCCCAAATCATCCATCTTTCTGTACATTACTATCAAAAATTATAAGAACAACACCCACACAAAAGAAATTCCTTTAAAAATAACCATAGAATGTGTAACATATCTTGGAATCCACCTACCAAGTCACGCACACTCTCACAGAAACTGCATGTATGAACATAGCTACAAAACACTCTTTACAGAAATAAAAATAAACAATAATTAGAGAGATGTAATTGCTTATAGTTGAGCCATACCAATATAGTAAAAATGACAGTAATACCTAAATTAATTTTCAGATTAAGTTCCACATTAAAACTAGTTCCATAATCAAACTACCAAATTTTCTTTACAGATCTAGAAAAAAAAATAACAGAATCCATTGGAGAAAGAAAAGGTCAAAAATCTTAAGAAAATTAATGAAAAAATTGGGAAGAGAGAGAGAGCCTGGGAGTACCATATCTCAAACTATACTACAAAGCAGCAATTAACAAAACTACTTGGTCCTGGTTAAAAAAAAAAATAGAAAAGTTGATCAATGAAACAGATTAGGTATACGAAGTCTGAAAACAATTGAACCTAGTGGAGGCAGCTAGGTGGTTTAGTGAATAGAGATCTGGGCCTGAAATCAAGAAGACCTGAATTCAAATCTAACTTAACCTCTGTTTTCCTTAATCCACTGAGAATGAAATGGCAAACCACTCCAATGTCTTTGCCACGAAGAGTCAGACATGGCTGAACAACAAGTATAAACCCAAGGATTCCTGGGGAAACTAAAAAGCAATCTGGCTGAAACCGGTTTTGAATCAACACATCATATCTTCTAGCACAATAAGTTCCAAATAGCTAGATGACCTAAATATAATCACATCACAGATAAACTGGAGGAGCAAGGAATAGTTACCTTTCACACCTATAGCTAGGGGAAGAATTCTTTACCAATGGAGGGTGGAGACAATCACCAGAGATAAAGTGGACAATTTCAATTACATGAAATTGAAAAGTTTTTGCAAAAACAAAACCAATGAAGTAAGAATTAGAAAGGAAATAGTAAACTGGAGGTAAAAATCTTTGCAGCAAATTTCTCTGATAAAGGTCTGATCTAAGATATATTGATTAAGAAATACAGGAAATGGGGTACAGAAGTCTATCCTGCCCTACAGGAAAATAGAAGGGGAAGGGGATAAGAGAAGGGGAGAGAGATAGAAGAGGGGACAGACTAGGGGAAGAGTTATTCAGAATGCATGCTACCTTGGGGTGGGAGGAGGGGGGAGATGGGGTATAAATTTGGAATTCAAAAACTTGTGGGAGTGAATGTTGAAAGCTCAAAATAAATAAATTTATATAAAAAATAAATAAATAAGATATATTGATAATTGATGCAAATAAATAAGAATAGTCACTCTTCAAAATATAAATCACTAAAGAATATAAATAAGCAATTCTTGAGGGGAAAAAGCCAAGCTATCAGTAACCATATGAAAAAAAATGCTCCAAATTACTAATAATAAGAAAAATGTAAATTAAACACCTGAAACAATTCTGAGAATTTACTTTATACACATTGAAGATGACAGAAAAAAGAAAATGATTATTGTTGGAGGGGCTACTTTAAGACAAGCACACTAATGCGTTGTTGTGAAGCTTTGAATTGGTCCAACCATTCCGTGAAACAATTTGGAACTATATCCAAACAGTCATTCAACTATGCATACCTTTTGACCCAGAAAATGCAACTGCTAGCCCTATATCCCAAAAGAACTCAAAGAAAAAAAGGAAAAGGATTCATAAATACAAAAATATTTACAGCAGTTACATTTGTTGTAAGCAAAACCCTGGAAGCTAAACAATTGGGGAATGGCTGAACAATTTGTTTTAAGACTAATAGAAATGACAAAAAGTTGCAGAGAAACCTGGGAAGATTTCTATAAACTGATGAAAAGTAGAACCAAGAAAACTTTTTTTTTTTTGCTTTTTGGTGAGGTGATCAAGATTAAGTGACTTGCCCAGGTCACACAACTAGTAAGTATTAAATGTCTGAGGATGGATTTGAACTCAGGTCCTCCTGACTCCAAGGTCAGAGCTCTATTCACTGCGCCACCTAACTTCCCCAAGAAAACTCTTTATATAATAACAAAAACAGTCATTGAAACATTTAATATTTTATTTTTTCTCAATTACATGTAAAAACAATTTTAGAATTCTTTTTTCAAATTTTGAGCTCCAAATTCTCTCCCTCCCTCCCTTTTCCTCTAATTAAGAAGGTAAGCAATTTGACATAGGTTATATAGAAAAGTTTTTTTAATGGAGAAGGGAATGTAAAAGTCAATAGGATAACTTTAAATACACATTGATGTTGTATAGGCGGAGGGAGAAGCAAGCTGCATGTAGTGCATACACACAGTTACATATGCAATCTCCTTTTTCTGATCTGTTTTGCAAATGTAAATGCTCTTCTTGTTCAGTGTTTTAAGTTCAGAATAAAAACAATTTAATTTTTTTAATCATGAAAGAGATGATTTTAGGGAAACCTGGGAAGACTTGTATGAAATGATGCAGAATGAAGGGAACAGAACTAGAACTATTTATGCAAAACCAACTACATTGTAAAGATTTAAGCAATTTAATCAATGAAATGATTATGCTCCAGAGGTACTAGGATATAGCGAGCTATCCACCTGTTAACGGAGACATGATGGTCTCAAGGTACAGAATGAGACATAAATTTTCAGACATGGCCACTATGTGGATTTTTTTTGCTTGACTATATATATATATTTGTCACAAGGGTTTTGCTTTTCCTTCCCCACCCCTCACCCCCAATTTTGACAGGAGGAGAGGGAGGTTAGCAAAAATATGCTTAAAAATTAGGAAGAGAGTCACTTAAGTAATATCAGAGATCTAAGAACTGACAGGCTTCCTGGGATCTGTAGTTCAGAAGAACAATCATTCCCTCTCACACCTCAGAATAATTTGAGACCAGCACAGTGCCTGATCAGCACTCCATAAATACTTGTTGATTAATTGAATTGTGGGATGATTTCTTTTCCAAACTAATATGTATCCATCCCCAGCATCCTGATATCCTTGGTACTGCAGAGACAGCTCTTCTGAAGTCACTGAAAAAAAATCGAAGAAAAATAGGACCAGGGACAAAACCATTGCTATTAAGTAATCCTGTGGATAGATAGATAAGACCACTTCCAGAATGACTGGGATGCTATTTTCAATGTACAGGAATGGACTTCCACTAAACTGCTGAAGGAAAATAAAACATAATTATATTTGCTAGTGTATTTTTACAATGGCTATGGAAATCTGTTTGATCCACGCTTATATCACACATCATTTAAGGGTTTTTTGGGGGAAAAAATCCTTTTTTATACTATGGTTTTGACAACCTTTATATACATTAAAGTGCCATATAAATCTTAATTAATTTTATTTAGCATGATGTAGAAGAAAGAGAACTTATTTGGATGAAAGGACATGGATTTGAACCCAAGACCTGCCACCTACTAACTCGTGAAGTTGGTCAGGTTATTTCCTTTTTCTAGGTTTCCAATTTTTTTCCTCTCCAAAATGAGATGGTTGCCCCTCTTGTAGAAGAGTGATGGATTCAAGATGCAGAATAAGACATACATTTAAAGACAAGGCTGATGTGGAAATGTTTTGCTTGACTATGCATAGTTGGTACAAAGGCTTTTTTCTTCCTTTTTTTTTGCCCCCAGTGGGGAAGAATGAGAGGAAGAGAGTGAGGATAGAGGGAAGGAAGGAAGAAAGGAAGGCCTCCTTTTTCTGAAAAATGAACAGAACCAGAATCAGAGGCATGCAGAACAGCTTTAAAAGCTACAGGTTAAATATATTATTATATCATGTATATAATCATATACTTAGTTACATAATTTTAAAAGAAAAACATGTGTATATAATAGAGATCAATGGTTTTGTGTATGTTTCTTTTTTTTTTGTTCTAAGTATACGGAAATGCCCATTTTATCTGTAGTTTATTAGTGTTAGAATCAAAATAAATAAAAATTTTAAAATAATAAAACAAGTTTGGGCCGGATCTCTTCTAGCTTGACCTCATCATTACATACATTACATACATATATATGCATATGTGGCATTTGTATCATGAGCTCCTGCCGCCAAGCACATCCCATTTGTACTTCGAGTCACCTTGGTGCACGCCCCACCCACCGGGGGATTCGCAGGATGACGTTATTTCCAATCGCCCCAAGCTGTATTGTCCCCGCCGCCGCCCCGTAGCTCAGCGCGTGGTCGAAGAGCCCGGAAGCCGGTTGGGCGCGATTTCCGGAGAGCCGGCAAACTGCGTGCGCCGCCGCGGGGGACGGGTTTTCGCTGTCCGTAACCGACAGATCGAAGTCAGCATGTTCCGGCTCGAGAACATGGGGCCGAAGCTAGACCCCGAGGAGCTCAAGCGCAAGATGCGTGAGGATGTGGTCTCCTCGGTCCGCAACTTTCTCCTTTACGTGGCCCTGCTGCGCGTCAGTGAGTGACCTTTCCCGCGGGCGCGGGTGCGGGCGGGGTCCGGTCGAGGGTCGGGGGTCGGGGTCGGGTCAGCGCAGGACGAGGGTGCAGCCGCGGGAGGCGGGGGCAGAAGGAGCAGCGCGGCGGGGGGCGGCCTGAATCTCGGCGGGGGGCCCAGCAGTGGAGAAGAGCGCTGCCCCCCTCCCTCTCCCCCTGCTCCTCCACCTACTCAGCTCCCTTGTCGCCTCTGGACCTCAGTTTCTTCTCTTGTGAAATGCCGTCTCCACTCTCCCTCCTTTTTCCCAGTGAGAACACCGAGCCCCTGAGAAGTTCGTTGCCTTCCTCGAGGGCTCGCGGGTCTGTCCACGACCCCACAGTTTAGATCACGTGACCCTTTTCAAATCCTTACATTTCTGGGGTCCATATACTTATTTTGTTTTAATATTGGGGAGAATACTGATCTTGGGAGTCAAAAAGATCTGAGTTCAAATGCTGTCTCAGTCACTTAGTACCTAGGTGACTTTGGGCAAGTCACTTAACCTCTGCCTCAGTTTCCTTATATTTGTAAAATGGAGGTAATAATAATGGGCAAGTCACTTCTTTTCTCAGTTTCCTCGCTTGTAAAATAGAGGTAATACTAATGGTAAGTTACTTCTGTCTCAGTTCCCTCACATCTGTAAAATGGAGATAATAGCAAATCATTTAACCTCTGTCTGCCTCAGTTTCCTCATCTGTGCAGTGGAGGTAGTAATAATAATAATAATAGCACCTCTCAGTGTTGTTATTAGGATAATGAAATCCCTTTACCCATGTACCCTTGATCTCGTCCTCTTCTGTCTCTTCCAGTAGATTGCCTCCACAAACCATCTCCACTTCTCTTAAATCTTCCACTCCTCCTTACCTACTGGCTCCTTCCATGCTGCCCACAAACATGTCAAAGTGTCCCCCCAAACTCCCATATTGGGGGGGGAACCTCACAAGGCTATGACCTGTATCATTCCCCCCTTTAAAACCAAACTCAGAAAAAAGCTGTCTACATGCTTTATCTCTTTTTCCCCTCCTTACCCAGGTATCAACCCTTTGTAATCTGGCTTCTGACCTCTAGACAACTGAAACTGCCCTCTCCGAAGTTATCATTGATCTCTTAATTGTGAAATCTAAATTAGCCTTTTTTCAATCCTCACTGTTGAGCTCTGTGCCACATTTGACACTTAAACAACCAGTTCTTCTTGGATACTCTTTACACTCTGGGGTTTCTGACTTTTTTCTTTTAGTCTCATTTCCTGATGGGTAGGTATGCTCCATGGCTCAGTCCTAGACCCTTTTTTCTCCTACACTCTTAGAAGCCTCATCAATTTCCATGGATTTATTATCTCCCTGAGAGATAGCTCCCTGATCCTTTTGTTTATACAGTTGTTTATAGGATTGTTTTATACAATCCTAGTCAGCTCATCTCCAACTGCCTGTTAGATATTTCATATGGATAGGTATCTCAGAATCAACATGTCTAAAATAGAACTCTCTGGCTTTCACTCCAAAGCCACACCTTCCAGATTTCTCTGTTTCTGTTAAGAGTCCCAACATCCTTCCACTAGGTGTACCTTCTTGACTCCTAACCCTGTGTCACCTTAATCATCTTTTCAGTTGCCAAATCTTATAATTTTGACCTTTATAACATCTCTCCCATTTTTCCTCTTCTCTCCATTCACACACCTTAGTTCAAGCCCTCATCAATTCCTGCCTGGACTACTGCTTCTTAATTGGTCTTCTACCTCATATTTCTCCTTTTAACAGTCTATCCTGCACAGAGCTGCCAAAATGATTTTCATAACCATGAAACTTTCCTACTAAATAAACTCCAGTGGCTTCTTGTTACTCGAAGGATCCAATATATACTTCTCGGGTTGGCATTAACAGCCCTTCAAAACTGGGCTTATGATATATTACTCTCCTCCTCCAAAATCCAGCCGGTCTGGTCTCTCTGCTCCTTCCACTGGACACTCCATCACCTATCTCTTTACCTTTGCACTGGCTATAGTCCATCATCATTTCTACTTCCTAGAATCCCTAGTTTGCTTCAAGACTCATCTCAAGCACCATTTTCTACATTAAATCTTCCCTGAGCCCCCTTACTAGTGTCTCCCCTTCTCCCCCCCAGTTATTCTGTATTTATTTTGTATATGCTTATGTATCCAAACGCTGTCTCCTCTGATAGAAGCCGCAAGGGCAGGGACCATTTTTGCCCTTGCATAGTGTAATTCGTAGCTGTCACTTAATAAATTATTGCTGATAATAATTACTAATATTTACATAATGCTTACAATGTGCCAAGCACTGTGCTAATAAATGCTTTACAATTATTATCTCATTTGAGTTTCACAAGGACCTTGGGAAGTAGGTGCTGTTATTGTCCCCATTTTACAGATGAGGGAAACTGAGACAAACAGATTGACTTACCCAGGATCATATAGCTAGGAAGTCTCTGAGACCAGTTTTGAACTCAATTCTTCTTCACTTCAGGCCTAGCACGCTATGCAGTGTGCCATCTAGCTCTCCCAACTCGTGCATTATTGACTCATATTTAAAGTATGTAGAATGAAAAAATCTTGACCTTTTGTCTGTCTTTGCCCATTTTGAGCAGTAGGTATCATTCTTGATCTTATGTTTACTATATTAAGAAGTATTTCTTAACTATTAGCATATGATAAATTTAGCATAGTTGCATTTTTAATCAACACAGGGGAAATATGGTTCTGGTAGCTCTTTTGGCCAGAGTACTTTTCAGACAAATTGACTTTTATTTAAATGGAGTTTTGAAGTGTTAATTTTTTTTAAAAATGCCACATGTATGAACCTGGTCTACTTGAAATGATATTTTGCTCACAAAGCACTTAGGATAAATAATTGAATCAGATGAAGGAACTTGTGCTCTTAATATCCTAATTCTTCATTTTTGCTTTTTCTTCCCCACCCTTCATAGCACCCTATATTTTAAAGAAGTTGGACAGCATATGAAGATAGAGACATTGGCATGTGAGAGCATGAACTTCAGAATATGGTTACGATTTCTCTTCCCATTTGCTAATAAACAGGCACAAAATGACAACAGAGACTTTTGGTACTGAATAGATATGAAAACTCCGCTTACTAAGAATGAGTTTGACCTCAGTGAAAATGCTAGCAACTGAAAGAAAGCATGAAGTTTTTTTCTCTTTGACACTGTTTAAGAAATGTTAAGCAGACTTCTTTGGTCTCATACTGCTGTGTTGGTATCATACAACCTTCATAAATTTTGATTCAGTTGTAAATAGTTTTATCAAACTACATTTTGTAGTGAATACTAATTGTAAGGGAGCTACCTCTGAAATTATCTCATTACTTCTGTTGAACCTCCTGCCTCTGTGAGGAATATGCATTGTGAAAGATTTTCTTGTGATTACTTTTGTTGAAATTGATACCATTATGATAGTTAGCACAGTACTGTTAGTCTTTATTTTTAATAAATGTGCCATTTTTAAAAAGTATTAGATTTGATTTAAATTTTCCTTTTTTTCCCTCTTACTTCAGTGTTTGGTGACACTCTTAGGACTGTATTGTGACTATTATACATTGTGCCAGAATTATACCCTCCCCAGCTTGGCCTTGTTAATTTGCCAATCTTGAAAAATGCCGCTTCAATTTGCATCATTGTTTTAACTTCTGAACAACCTGTGTGAAAAATAACTTACTGATAAAAGCAGCAGCTACTGCCTAACAAAGGGGGAAAATAATCCATCCTGAGACAGATGATTACGTGATAATAGTAATTGCTAGTTTTTATATTGGCCTTAATAGTAACTCATGGCTTATCATCTCAGCTGTAAACTGAGGTAGGTATGGCTGAATCTCAGGAGATGCTATCTTAATTTTGGTGGCTTATCCCCTACCTGATCTCAGCTCTAAGCCCCTAGGAACATCAGAATTGGACTTAGGTCATTCCAAGGACTGTCCCAGGAGGGGCTGAGGATAGCAAACATTCAGCACAACAGAGGCTTGTTAAAAACCATGACAACACAGGAAAGTCAATAGAAGTAGCCCTCTTCTAATGAACTTTCCTCCCCTGGGTTTAAAAGTACCAGCCCTGAAAACTCATGGTCCACCACTTAGTGAATGGACGGAGGATCTCAGTGAAGGAGTAGCATATCAGTCAGTCAGTCAACTAGTGTTTACTAAGTGCCTATTATGGGCCAGCCAAGGTCACAAAGGAAGGCAAAAAACAATCCCTGCCCTCAAGGAGCTTGTAATCTACGTAGTCAGAGATAGAACATGCAAATAATTGTGTACAAACAAACTATATACCAGATGAATTGGTGCTAGTCTCAGGAGGAAAGCACTACGATTAGGGTTCTTGTTTCTCACCTATTTCCCTCGGGTTTGCTTGTTCCCCGGGTGCTGTTACTGCTGTTGCTGAGAAGAATGCTCTAACTCACTTTTAATCTATAGTCTCCAAAGTTTTCAGGGTTCTACTTTGCATCTACATTCCCAGCCACATAATCCCTTTCAGCAAGCCGGCTTAGTGCTCCTCAGGATTGATGATCCTGGCCTTGGAAACTATTGTGCTTGGATAGCTGCCCCCCCTTCTTACCCTGACATAGCTTTCATTCCAATCACTTCACTCACCTCTCCCCAACTCCCTTCAGTCCCAGCTTCCCTAGTGAAGCTTGCTGCCTTCAGGAAACCTGATTGGCTCCAGCTTCTGTGACACGGCTCCAGCTTCTGTGACACACCTCCAGGCCTAGGGCCAATGAAGTGCACAAGTCAGACTTCATGGATAGTCACTATACCAGGAAGCTTGCCTAAGGACTGACCAAACTCATTTCTAGATGAGGGGAGGGGGGCTGCTGTATCCTTGTTGTATATCTTTGCTGGATTTGGGCAAAGTAAACCTGCTTTGTTCAGTGATTCACAAGTGTCTCATTTCCTCCCAATACTGAATCTGAACTAGGAAGGTGCTAGCTTTAGAGCATTTGGCATGATCGGTAGGCTGGGATGAGATGGCCTCTTGACTTACAAGATGGTAGAGTTGGGATAAGAGCCCCACAAATATGGTGGGGGTGAGGGTACTGTGAGTGCCTGGGTGATACTGCCTGGCTCCCCAAGGGCAGTTAATATTCAGTGACTCATGAGTGCCTTATTTCATCCCAACATCAAACCTGAACTAAGAGGATGCTAACTTTAGAGTCATACTTACAATATCCATCTTCTCTTATCATCTCTTAGGTACTAGTGCTTTTTCCATCCCACTCAAGGGAAGGAAGACGGAGCTGTTTGAGACCCTTCCAAGTATCCCAAGACAAAACTGTTTTAGCCAAATATTTAAATACTATATTGTTATTTAACTTTCTACTCTCAGTTCCTTGTGTAGGAAACTACTATTAATCAGAAAAGCCCTGCCCCACCTGCACATAAGGATTGTGCCACTTCTTTGAGCTTCATGTCACCCATTAATGGATCCTTGACAATGTAAGGAGAAGCTTATTTTTTAACTGGAGAAACTATTTGAAAATGAGTTTCATTTTGTAATCAGTCATGAAAGCATTTGCTAAGTGCTTTTGTATAGTATTATGTTGTTCCGTTGTGTCCAACTCTTCGTGATCCCATTTGGAGTTTTCTTGGTACAGATGCTAAGAGTGGTTTGCCATTTCCTTCTCCAGTTCATTTTACAGATGATGAAACTGAAGCAAATAGAGCTAAGTGACTTACCCAGGGTCATGCAGCTAGTGAGTACATCTAAGAGGTCCAATTTGAACTCAGGCCTTCCTGACTCCAGTGCTCTATGCACTATGCCACACACTATACAAAGTATGTTAAATAGTCCCTACCCTGTTTGGGGATAAAGAGCTTTATTCCTAGATGAAATAGTGATCTGAACATAAACTACTAATGCTACTAAATGTCAGGGAGATTGGGGTACTGTGGGGAACAGAGATGGAAGAGGGCAGACTTGGCACCTTGCATTCAGTATGAGAGATTCCTAGGGAGCTTCCAAAATGCCAGGTTGTAATGAGTAGCTCAAATAATATTTTTTCTCCAATTACATGTAAAGATAATTTTTAACATTCTTTTTTTAAAGTTTTGAGTTCCAAATTTTCTTCTCTCTCTCACCTCTCCCCTCCCTGAGATAGTAAGTAATCAGATACAGGTTATACGTATGCAATCATGCAAAACATATTTCCATATCAGTAATATTGTGAAAGAAGACACAGACCAAAATGGGGAAAGAAAAACATGAAAAAAAATAAAGGAAGTTAAAAAAGGCACGCTTCAGTCTGCATTCAGACTTCATCAGTTCTCTCTCTGGAGATGGATGGCATTTTTCATCATGAGTTCTGGAATTGTCCTGGATTGCTGAGAATAGCTCAGTCATTCACAGTTGATCACATTACAATATTGCTGTTCCTGTGTACAATGTTCTCCTTCCACTAGGATATTTAGAGAAGCCATGTAATGGGAAAGAAGCTGATAACATCATAGACCTGGTGCTGGAAGGGAATTTAAAGGCCATAATGTCCAACCCCCTTTTTTTTAGGTGAAGAAACTGAGGCAGAGAGAGGTTAAATGACTTGCCCAGTATTACACAACCAGAAAGTGTCTGAGGCAGGATTTTAAGCCAGGTTTTCCTGACTCTCAGTCCACACTTATCCAATATGCCATACAACCTCTCTACATTGATATATATGCTAGCCCATATTAGAAGAGATAGTGCACCAAGAATGATAGGGAGAAATTGATTGAGAATGGGAGTAGTGGTTCAGCTCTGGTGTTTGATGTTTGCTCCTGAGTCTTTCTTCTTTATTTTATGGTGGAAAAAGGATATTTATGGGTGTCTCTGTCCAGGTTGTGCTGCTTCATGGCCACATAGCTGGGTTCAAGGTTCCACTTCTGTGTACTAATTAAATGACACTCGGGAGGTTACTTAATCTCTTAGCATTCTATGGAACCCTTTAGACTCTAAGATGCAGAGAAGGTGCTGACCTGTATTGGTAGAGGCAGTTTCCTATACAAATGAAATAACAAGTCCAGTCCCCGTGCCTTCCTTTTAACACATCTTATTGATTTTTTGTTTGTTTGTACATCACCTACACTTCTTCCAGATGCCTCCCTCTCCTTCCTGAGATCCATCTCAATAACAGAGAATTTTAAAGGGGGGAGGGGGGAAAGTGCCACTAAACTACGCAGCATATCAAAAAAGTCTGACCTTATATTCCATGTTCCACACTCCTAGTCCTGTGTAACCCAGTGAGGTGTAGAGGGAAATGGACTGGTAACCAGGAAGCTCTGGAATCAAAATCCCTCATCAGACATTACTGTCTCTTTGCCCTTGAGCAAGGCACCAGCAACTTCTCTCAGCCTTCATTTCCTCATCTTTTAAATAAAGAGATTGAACTAGATCATCTTACTACTAGTTCTAAATCTAGGAATCTGTGATCTGCAAAAGGAGGGGGAGGAGAGGAGAGAGGGGGAGGTAGAGTCTTATCTCTATTCTATTCTTTGAAGCCAAACTTGATTATATTAATTTCATAGCAATAGTAGTGATTGTCTGGTTCTTATTGATCCGTTCCCATTTTTATTTTATTGTGATCATGTATATTGTTTTCCTGGTTATGTGCTGTTTTCTATCCCTAGAAAAAATTACCCAGATGAACAATAAATGGAATGATTTAAAACCTGCAGGGTAGTGCAATAAAGAATCTTCTTTCCTCAAGGGAGGCATGACACAACGAAAGGGAGAAGTAGAGACTAGATGATACAGTTAGATTCAGAACTGAGAGAGTGGCCGAATTAGGATGACTGATTAAGGCTCAGAAGGTAACCGACAGATTGACCCTGAGTTATGGAGAGTTTAAATAACTGAGCTTAGCTACAGTCTATCCCCCCAATTCACAAAATCCTTCTTTAGGGTTCCTATTGTGGTGGGAAAATTTCAGACCCTAAAATCTTTTTGTACCCACCTCCCTTTTATATTTATTGCTTGATGTTGTAAAACGTTCTTAACTCAATGCACAAAGCAGTTTCCTGCGTTAGAAGGGAAGGGCCTGCCTGTTCGGTTTATAGCCTTGTTTATAGGAATGTTCCTTGACAAATAACCAAAGTCTATATAGTCTTGTCAAAACATTTTATCTTATAGGAAGGGTCTCTTTCAAGAATGTCAGAAATATGACTGCCAAGCAAACAAAATATTTATAGATATATTTCACTTACATATGTTTCTTTTACTGAGAGTTGGGATAATCTTCCCAACTGGGAGAGATTTGCTGTGTCTAATGCAACCACAAAGGCGGAAAGAAGAAAAAAAAGATCTTTTATTAGGTGAAAACTTGCAAAACTGGCAGAATGGGATTTTTTTGGGTACCCAAGGCCATTGACTATCTCTTCCTTGGGCTTCCATAGATATTGTCTCTAGAGAGATAAGTCCTTATTTTTTTGGAAATGACTGTCTTGCCCATTCATTTCCATGTGTTCTTATTTTATCGGGGCAGCCAAATTGTATAATCTTGTTCCAAATCATGCTTAATGCCAGTTCCCAGGATTTTATACCCCCTAGGTGAGTACCAAATGTGTCCTGACATTACTAAAGCCTGATTATTTCCCATCCATGATGTAGGTCCCATATGTCTGCATAAATATGCCATTATTTTGAAATCCATTATGCTGGGAAGAAAATCTCGCAGCTGCAGCTTCATTAAATGACTTTATTAAGAGTGACAGTTCACTCCACACTGAACAATTTACCTGCTAACCAGATTGTTTTTGCATTGCTACTATGTTATGAACACTTGCTTTACATAAATACTCCACTTCACCACAAGATTTAAGAAAGTTTTGCTGTGTCTAATACAACTGCAAAGCCAAAATCCTAACTTGGGAAATTCCCTCAACCTTCAGTAAAAGAAGTATGTGTAAGTGATATATCTGTAAGAGTTTTGCTTGCTTGGCAATCATATTCCTGATATTTCTGAAAGAGACCCCCTCTTATAAAAAGTTTTGAGAAGATTATATAGACCGTGGCTACTTGTCAAGGATTCCCATAAGCAAGGTTATGCACAATCAAAAATGCCAAAGGATCCCAAACTGAAGACTGAGAAGTCTTTAGGGATGAGGGATGGTTCCTCCTTTTCTCACCAGTTAGAACAGTGAAAAGTCTAAGGTGGAGATCAAGGCATGAAGTTCAGAGAAAACAACTCAGAGTGAATATTAAATAATGGAGATGGCCGATTAGACCAGTACCATCTAGTTTTTTGTTTTTAAGATTAAGACTTCCTGTCTCACCTGGGCTTGAAATACAGAACTGCTCTTGGACCTGATCCCAATTACTGATTGCCATGGAAGCCTTTAACCTGCTCCATTTATCTGGCCTAGGTTAGTTTACCCCTCCTTAGGCAGTGTGGTGGCACTCTGCCCTGAGAAACACCATATTGGTAACAGGCTTGGTGCCAATCTGCTTTTAGCCCTGCTGCATCTCAGAACTCCCAAACTCAAGCAATCCACCAGCCTCAAGCCTCCCCAGCAGTGGGGACTAGAGGCATGTAGCATCATACCTGCTTTTTTACCTATTTTCTTGGACATGGTATGACACACCAGTGTGTAATGACATAGACTGGAAAGAAATATATACTGTGGAATGCAACTGTCACATATAAGGAGGCCAAAGGCAGTCACATCTCACCCTTACTAACACTGGCTATGGACCCTTGTAGGTGTTATTGAATAAAAGTGGAAATAAGGGTAGGTAACTCTGTTCATGGAGTTGTTTTCATGCTAAGGAGAATAGTGTTTTGCTAATGAGATCTCAAAAGTAAGAGGGACTGGTCACCCCACTCACCTATGTGGAGCTTGTATTTACCCATAACTCAAGGGCAATGGCCAAGATTATTGGGTGAAACAAGGAATATCCCCACCGACTAGCTAGTCATGAGATTGGATGGGCTTCTCCTTAGGTTAGGCAGGAGGAGATGGTACAAGCTATACATATGGTCCAAGAACATATTGGTGGGCCTTTCCATACCATTCCACCACCTATGCTTGGTTTGGTCTTGGAATTTGAGTAAAACAGGATGGAGATATCTTTGTCAGCATTCTTGTGGTTGCACAAGTGAGCTCCATAGCTGGTAAATAAGTAGTGAACATTATATTAAAGTTTGAGGCCTGTTATAGGGCCCTCCTATTAGAATATATTCCAAAGTAATTTATACAAAATATGGATTAATACACTACTTATTCTTATATCTTATATTAGATAGCTAACTAAATATGTATTACTAGATAAATATTTTAAAATAATTACTAATAATCATTACCCCTTATAGAATCGTAATGAACTGAGTTTAAATGGGGGTCCTCAATGAATCAACTTTCTCAGTAGGTACTTAATAAATGCTTGTTTCCTTCCTATTTTCTTCCTCTCCCAGGTCAATCTTTCTACAAGTACTCTTGATCCCATCACTTCCCTCTTCATCCAGAAGTTTGCCCCTAAATCATCCCCCTCCCTAATTTTCAAACATCTCCCTCTCTAATTTTCTCCCTCATCCTGAAAACAACATCTCTGAACTCTACCGTCTTCTCAGGCTAGCATCCTGTATCTGACTTCCCACTTACAAAATAACTCTTAATAAGCTATCTATTGAATAGAATTTTGAAAA